GGCGTCTGTTCTACAACAGACGCTTATGAACCAGACGCTAATAGTCTTATCTTTAGGCGTCTGTTGTTCATAGCCGTCTGTTCCTCAACTACAACCGACGCTTTATACTACTTATTCCCCTTTCAATTCCCATGCATACCAAACATTGGAATTGAATTGAAATTCCTAGTAATTCTATTCTTGTAAACCAAACACTGGAATTTAAATTCTCACTTTATTCCCAGTAATTCATCTCCAATGGATTTGCAATTCCTTTCCCACGTAATTTACTCCTCCAACCAAACGCCCTGTTGAGATTACAAATTTAATTCTTGCCAACACATTCTTAGGGGGGTGTATTCAATCCTTACTTTCATAGAGTTTTAAAGACTTTTATGAACATTAAAAGTTTGGAGGTATTCAATTCATCAAACTTTTTGAGAGTCTTTAAAAGTCAGACGGTATTCAATCAAGATTTTTAAGGAGTCTTTAAAACTCATGTGGTATTCGATTAAGACTTTTAAAAAGTCTTTAAAAGTCATGTGGTATTCAAAAAGTTATAAATTTTATAGACTTTTTAATTTTAAGACTTTTGTAGACTTTTCCTTCTCAAATATAAATAGTTGAAATCCAACCATCAACCCCAAGATTTCAGATTTAATTTCTAGCAACTTTGAATATTTTCTCTCTCTATTTAAACTCTATTTTTTCTCCATATTTAAACTTTATAAACCTATTTAAATTCAATAAAATTATTTTTTTCTTCATTATCCTATATTTTCCTCATACCTAAACTCAACGAATTTTTATCTCTCTCCTAAACTTTAGAATCTTCATCTAAAAATTCAAAATAATATTATTTTTACTTCATTATTGCTTGTTTATATTGATTTATATTTTTTCTATGAATTTTTTATCCCTAACTTTCTCTAATTCTCCCTAAATACATGAACAAAGTAAATTTTTCATCGTCAAATTTTAGTATATGTTTCATAATATTCATATAAATACTTATATATTTTTATTTTTATTCTTTTTATGTTTATATTCGCAATATATAGTTTTTTTTTTTTTAAATAACATGTTACTACGAATAGCGAACTACTGTTCGCAACAATAATTTGGGGTTGCAAACAGTAGCACCTTGTTGTTGTTCGCAGTCTCAAATTGCTATTGCAAATAATAGTTCTTTACGTGATGCCTAGCAATATATCAAGTATAATTTTTTATATATATTATTAATATTAGATTTTTTTATTTTTTTATTTTATGCAACTTGTAATTATATTTTTAAATATTTTATTTGATAAATTCTTTTATTATAAATTTTATTGTTCAATATTGTTATGAATTTCTAATGAAATAGTTTTTTTTTTTTTTTTTGTTGATGTTTATTAATAATATATATAAGTAATTAGCATATAAGTCTCAACATACTATGGATAAAAATAATAATGTTGATGTGGGTGAAGAACTATATAATAAGAAGAATTTTTTGTGATATATTATAAATATTTTGTAATAAAATTATAAATGATAAGAATCAAAATCATTGAAAGTTTGTAAGGAGTATTCAATTTAGAATTTCAATGACTTTTGTAGACTTTTTAAAATAAAAAGTTGATAAAAGTCTATGAATGTTTTTTATATAAACTTTTATGGAGTTTTATAAAGTTTTGAATGACTCTATGAAAGTCAATCAAAGTTTATTAAAATCTATCATTTTAAAAGTATTTAAAACTCTACAAAAGTCATGATTGAATACACCCCCTTTAATTTAGTTTGTCGTACAAAGTCTTCCTAGTGCTATTTATTGTGTGTGAATTTACGAGTTATTATACATGTGTGTGGTGCCCTCGGATATTTGACAGGTTTTTTTTTTTTTTTTTTTTTGGTTTTTTAAAATACATTTTCTTCTTTTGATAAAATTGAACCAAATATTTAATTTATGTCAAATTATATTATGTACCCATCACTTACAATTTTTAATATTGAGATACTTATGGTAAAGGATTTTCTTTATATTTGTAGATGATATCAAAATTATCACCCTTTTAAAAGAAGAAAACTCTCGTGATGATGCTATCATTGGTGAGTTAGTGAAATGATTTGTCTTTAATTTATACACTTTTGTGCATGACTTTGCTTGCTAAAAATCTATAATCATTTCTCTCTAAATTATGATTTGGATCCATATATACAATATCATCACATGGCCTCAACTAACTTAGGATTGATAATAATTTCAATAGAATCATACACTAATAATTTCCTAATCAAATTACTATATACATACATACTACGCCAAACACTTTGTGCTCAATTGACACATCTGTGACTCTCCATAAAGAAAGATTACAAGATTAAACCCTGATAATAGGGTACTCACTCTTTGGGCGAGATCCAATAAAAATCAATGTCTAGATGTGAACATACATTCTACAATACTATTTAAATGTATTTATTGACATGTAAATATGCATCAATGATATGTGATCTAATTAAAAATGCATCACATAAAATTACAAGTGCATTCAATGATACATAAAATGCACATTCAAGACATTTTTACTTATACATATCATAAAATGTATTTAGTAGTATTATTTGGTGCATTCAAATAAAGTTTAAAATAACTGTCCAAATTGTCTTTATACTTTTTTCTTACTTAAGAACCATTAATCTTCATAGATCGACATCTAGGATGTCTTTTCAATTTTCTCTTGATCATCAGTTATCAATTGATTGTGCATATATGTGTGTATGTGTGTGATCTATTATGTATCATTGTTTGTTAATAAAGAGGTGTAAAACACGGTGAATGTCAAAATCTTTTTCGTGATTACAAACTTTATTGTTACATCGTAACATTATATGTATGAGAGAGAGAGAGACATGAAAAGAATGTATATACTATGTGTCATTATTTGTCAATAGAAAAACGTAAAAGTTGATGAACGTTAAAATCTTTTCCGTGATTATAGACTTTATTATTACAACAATATATGTGTGTGTTTCTGGCTTTTTGCGTGATACGAAAAGAATGCATCTCTATTACGTGTCATTATTTATTAATAAAGAGTCATAAAAAGTTGTGAACGCTCAAATCTTTTCTATGATTACAAATTTTATTGTTACAACGATTTATGGTGTGTCTGAGAAACATGAAAAAAATGCATCTCTTTTACGTGTCATTATTTATTAATAAAAAGGCGTAAAAGACGGTGAACGCTCAAAATCTTTCCATGATTACAAATTTTATTGTTACAATCGTAATTCCACCTCATTAAATATTGTCTTTCATTTATTACACACAGATTCAGAAAATTAATAAACATTTTCCAACCATTATATTTATATACTCTCTTCATATTCTCTAATTATAACTGATTGCAAAGCCAGAAAAGGAAAAATAAAAAATAAAAAAAATAAACCGATTACCTAAATTCAATATCAATCAACCACATTATGAAAATTCATAATAATGGACTAAAAAGATTTAGAAAATCTATAATTTGGAAAATAACACTTTTTAATTTCCCCTTGAATTATAGGCTTATATCACTTTTTCCCTAAATTATTCATCTATCCACAATTGTCTCCTCAATTATTTTAAAAGTGACAGTTTCTCCCTTTGATGTTAAATGGACATTTTTACCCTTAAAATAATTATTTCATTTATTTTTTTCTTCTCTAACAAATTATTCTTCCAAAAGGCTGAACCCCAACCCTAAGGGCCCCCCACACCCCGGCCCGACAGAGTATTTGGGAGGATGTAAATCATGGTGACTCAACTGAACATGAACCACAGAGGCTAGACCGGTGCTCACTGCGCACAAGGAACCCCCCTCACTTTGAGAGGTTGCTCCCACACTGCCGCTGGTGAGACTCGATCCCTGGTCATTCTTCCAAAGTTTTCTCTAACAAATTATTGCTTATATGTAGGGATGACTACGGTTTGATTTGAAATGAACTAGACACTATAGAAAACGAACTGACATAGTAGGGATGATTCTTGTTACGATTCAAAATCAGAAAAATAAAATAAAATAAAACAATTGTTGAATTTAGACTATTTCGAAAATACAAAATAGAATTTACACAAATAAATAACATTTGAACCGACAGTTCAAATCGAAACTGAAATCATAATAAATGCGAACGGGAATCGAAACAAGAACCGTCCCTACTGTTTCAATTCGGTTGCTATAGTGTCCAGTTCAGTTCAAATGGAACCGTCGTCATCACTACATATAAAATGTGAATACATGAATAATGAGAAAAGTGTTATAAATTAAACCTATAATATAATTAAGGGAGTCATTTTTCCTTTATAAAATTATATTTATTACATTAAATTAGGCATTATAGTTTTAATGTCAGCCTCATTAAATGTATATGTAATAAATGTTTGATTCTAGTTTGCCACCCAGTCTTAGATTTTGTTGTTTTTGTTCCCTCTTCGCTTATATATACAGAATATGGGAGAAGAAAAACACTATTACGTATGTTGCGATATCTCTCTGATCTTCTTCATGTGTACGGCACCCTAACGTAATTGTGTGTGCTCCAGACCGTATATATGAATGGTCCCTCGGCCGACGCGCATTTTCGGTCCCAACAACGTTTTCAGTTTTGTTTTTCGGAAAAGACATTTCGATGGATGGATAGCCAATAGTTATTTATATTAATTTTGTATTACTTAATTATCTATTTGAATAGATTAAAAAAAAAAAAAACTACTACTTTTTCCCTTTTGAAATTATCTCCTAGAGAGTAGAAAATTAAGAGAAAATAAATAAATAAATAAAATATTTGAATGAGAAAAAACTAATTTGCTATTACAAGCTCGCAGAATTCTAGAATACCATCAAATTATCAATTTCTAGAAAATAGGAATCCAACAAAGAATTACATACGGTAAATATGACTACTACAGTAAAAAATTTCATAAATAGCCGTTAATTATATATCTACAACTGTAGTAGATTCCGGTGAATCGGAAACGGATTGAATTGGGCTTAGAATGGCTGTAAATTCCGGCTCAACCCGTTCACGTTAGCGAAGAGCCCGACCAAGTCATGCCTGTGCGGCAGAAACGACCGCCGCCGCCTATCGCCGTCGCTCTTGGCGCAATGTGGCGGAGTTGCAGGTTTGTCGGCTGTTTTCGAAGCCTCGGCCGCCGCTGGCTTTTCTGGCTTTGGTGATCCCTTTCTGAAAGACGGTGTTAAAAAGACGAAACTGTCCTTACCCTCGCTGTTGCTCCGGTGGATGAGGTCTCGAAGCTTCCATCGCTTTGACCAGCCGGTGGAGTTGCTCTTCTTACAGTTCTTCGGTGACGACTTCTCCGCCGGAGCCTTCGGTCGCCACACGCAGTACGTACCTGGCGGAATCCCGTCCATCTCGTCGGCCTCCGATGAGGAGCACGACGACTGAGCTTCTCGCTCCTTAGTAAACAGTTTCCTTAATGGAAGCCGAATCTTCGGCGGCGGCGGCGGCAGCGTTGAGGATTTCTCCTCCTCGCTGGAATTCGCCTTCGTCATCGTCATCGAATTCGAGCTCCCATTTTCAAAATCCAGGTGACCTGACAACAAATCTCTGTTGAAAACCGGGTAAACCGGCCTGATCTGTCCATTGTAGAAAATCTCATCCGCAGAAATCGGTGAGAACACAGCATCTCCAGTAACGAACTGGAATTCAAACTCCTCTTCATCGCCATCACCATCCTCTTTTGTCTCCTCCTTGCCGACATCTCCGTCTACAACCTCCTTTTCACTCTCCGGAGCGGAAAACACGTCGTCTTCAAAAAACTCCGACTCGTCTCCATTCTCCACTCTGAGTTCCTCGACGACTCTCGCCGCGATCTCCGCCAGATTACTGTTCGAGTAGCTGGAAAAGCTCTTCGATGACAGCGATATCACCGGACTCGCCGGCATTTCTACGGATTCGATTGGCTGAAACATCTGGAAAATTAAAGAATCAGGAAAAGGACCTCACTGGTACTTCGTCATTTCTTGTAGAGAGAAGAAGAGAGAGAGAGAGAAGGTGAGTTTGGCGGAAAGAGAGCGAAAGGCGTGGGAGTTCGTTACAGAATTTATAGACGGATTCCAAACGAAGGATAACTGGTACGAAAGGCGTGAGAGATTTTCTATTTTTATTTTTTATTTTTATTTTTTTAAAAACATATCTCACGCGTTTCATGATTCAGATTGTTACAATTTATTTATTTTTTTTGAGAAAATTCAGATTGTTACATACTATCGCTCTCTTCTGTGTCACGCGTTTCATGATTCTCGTCCGTTACGAATTACGTTTGATTAATTATAAAATTAAAATAATTTTTATTTTTTTTACATTCTTACTCGTTACGATTAATTAATTATCAAATTAAAATAATTTGTTTAAGGTTCTTATTCGTTAGATTGATTATTGCAATCAGAAAGCTATATGCAATGAAGGTAACTGAGAAGGTGTTAATAAGATTGATCAATCATATTTAACCAGTTTAATTTGGCATCTTGCTAAAGATAGTGGTATAGTTCAGTGTAACAACATTTATAAAAGAGTATAATTTTAGATTAATGTAGTTTGTATGTACCACATGTTTGTATTAATTGATGTGCTTTAACTGGGCAAGTTCAGTGCGGTCAAACTAATAACGGAATAAGTTTTGTGTAATGTTGTTCCGTGTAATATATTCAAGTTAAAATGTAATATTTTTTGTGGACTCATTAAAAAATATTATATTTTAGTTAAAAAAATATTGAATATCTGACATGAGGAGAGAGAAAAAATCGAATATGAGAGATTCAAAAAATATCATCAGAGTCTCATTGTCTAACTTAATGATGAGATCATAGTGAACATAATAAACCTGGCCTTTAATAATTATTAAACTCAATCAAATTTGTATCATTATTGAAACACAAAATCTCTCATTTCGTAATTACATTTACACAAGAATTTAATGAAGTATTTATAGCACTAAATTGACATTTAGATTTTAATTTGTTTCTTATTTTGATGATAGGAAAACAAAATTTTCTTTAATCATCAAGATTTATGCCACGACTAAATACGTGTATATGTATATGTAGGTGTTACTTCACATATGCATGTTGCACTCGATCTAATCAGTCCATTGCTTGAGGGATTCCCAAAATATCTTACAATCATTTTTGACTAGCTAGCATAGTAGCATATGATAGTGCACTAATCACTTTAGAGAATTGGCGTTTTTGTTAATTATTATATTGTCATTTGTTTTGAAAGTAAAAATTTAAGGACCCGTTTACTAACAGAAAACTGTTCTATGTTTTTTATTTCTTAATTTTTCATTTTTTATTTTCTGTTTTTAATTTTTTTTTTTTTTTTTTTTTTTTTTTTTTTGTTTAGAAAATTCGTTTACTAACACATTTTTTTCAATTTTTTTAGATTAACATTATTAAATTAATACAAGTTTAATTTCGAGTGATTTTTAAATATTATATTTAAAATATTTTTACATATGTTTGGTTTAAATGTAATACATTTATTTATTTTTTTACTTTTAAGTTTAATATATGTAAATTTTTACATTTGATATCCGAACCAAATTTATATTTGTATATAAGATAATAACTAAAAAATATATCCGAACCAATAACCTACTAATTAAGTTCACCTAAAATTTAGTTTAGATAATATTAATATTTTTTGAGCGAATTGCTTAGTTTCTTGTTGATTTCCTATTGCTAGTGCCTTGTTGCTTGTGATTGCATATAACGTGCCATATCCTCCAATCCCCTAAGGACGACATTTCACACCCGTACACTGACCATCACTCATTTTTGCTACAATTAAAATTTGGCGTTGTTGCCGGGGATTGGCAATTTGGTGGTTCTATGTGATTACTTGTTTTACTAGCATTGGAGTTTAGAAAATCTGTTGAGTGATGAGCAGAAAAGAAACTTTGTATTGAAATCTATCAAAAATGTTCTCAGGCCATGAGTGCCTTACATATACTTTTACTGCACTAAGGGGAAAGGCATAATAGAAAAGAGGAGGGAACAAGAACAGTAAAACTACTTCTAACTAACTTAACAGAAATGATGTAACAGTCTTGGCTTTTGCATCTGATGTTACCCAAGTAGCCCTACTATAGTAATCAACAAGGGTTAAGAAGTATTGGTGACCATAAATGGTAGCAGTATGGTATGGTCCCCAGATGTCAACATGAACAAGGTCAAAACAATTTGCTGAATTAGAAAGACTAGGCTGGAAGGGCAGCCTTTTTTGCTTTGCAAAATGTCAATAGTCGCAAACACTTGGTTTGTCATTACAAATCTTATTGTCTAGGGCATGCAACATTTTAAATTTGCCCTTAGAGGGATGTCCTAACCTAGCATGCTAAGAAATACAGACATTGACAGTAGGTTTACATTGAAAATTACAGATAGGAAGAGTAGGGTGAACAAGCTGGTAAAGTCCTCTCTTCAATTCAGCGATACCAATCATCTTCCCAAGGTGTTGATCCTGTATGACACATTGATTAACATGGAATATAATTTGACACTGTGACCTTCTTGTAAGTTCACCCAATGAGATTAAATTATAATGGAAGATAGGCACACACAACACATCTGAGAGGACCATTTCAGTAGTGAATTGAACAGTCCCAATGTGGGATACTTGAGCTTGACCCCCATTAGGTAAATCCACAAAAAATGTGATGTGTGGCACCACTATCCAAGATCCATAAGGACTGAGGACTTGCCAGATTACTGTTAGGGTCCGTTTGGAAAGCAGAAAAATGACTTATGGAAAATGGTTTCTGGAAAATGAGTCATTTTCCAAAAAACATTTTCCTTTTACAGTGCTTGGTTGCATTTGAAAAACTGTTTTGGTGTGTTTGGTTCATTTTCTAGAAAATGAGTAGAATGGTATAATTAAATATTTTAATTATTTTATTTAAAATAAAAAATACATTTTAAACCTTTAAAACTAAAAAAAGAAAAAAAAATTATGGCTTCCGGCGGAACTGAAACCATAGCCCTGGTTTCCAGCGAAACCCAGTTCCACCAGAAACCATGGCTATGGTTTCTGGCGGAAATCAGTTTTGCCAGAAGCTTAAAAAAATGAAATAGTAATGGCGGAAAATGACTTCCGCCAAAATTTGACGGAAGTCATTTTCCGCCAAATTGAGCACATTTTCCCCAGTCAACGGAAAATGTTTTCCGTTAACTGGATTTTCCAGGTGTAGCCAAACACCAAAAACCCGTAAAATGATTTCCAGAAATCATTTTCCGGGTTTCCAAACACAACCTTAGAGTCAACAGAATTACCTTCAATTCAGGTGTCTGGAATGAAGTTTGCTGCAATGGCATTAGCTTGGGGAACAACAGCAAGAGGTGAGCTATTAGCCCTTTCATGATGCATAAACTCCATGAACCTTCTGAAATCCTCTTGACTAACAGATGAAATAGCTTTTGTGTTTCCACTTTCTTGCACACTTGTCTGAACTTAAATGGTAGCCCCCACACCCTTGCTTCTTGGCTTCCAACCAGGTGAATATCCATGCTTCTTGTAGCATTTGTCAATAGTATAGCCAGTATACCCACAATAGCTACATACTGGCTGCTGTTTCTGACCAGGGAATGCCCTTCTGTTATCATTTTTTGTAAAGAAAACACTTGCCTCCGCTAGATTTTCTCCAAAACCATTTGATTCACCAATCACCTGCCTCTCTTTGTTGGGAAACCATGGAAAAAGCTTCTCCAACATCAAGTAAGGGTTTCATCAACATTATTTGTCGTTTGGTGTTTGTGAAATTCTCATTCAAACCAATGAGAAAGGTTGATAATAAATCACTCTCTAGGTTTTCTATGATTTTTTCAGATAACTTTCTTCCACATTCACAGCTAGGTGAGCATTCACAAGAAGGAATTGGCTTTAAAACAAACAATTCATCCCATAGAAGCTTTAAATGAGTAAAATAGTCATTGGCAATCAGAGTACCTTGCTTGATTTGATATATTTCCGATTGAATCTCTGCAACTCGAAATACATCCTGCTAGCTGAATCTCTTATTTAGGTCCTTCCAGACTCCCTCAGCTGTGTTAATCCAGAGCACGCTCCTTCCAATGGTGGGTGACACAGCACTGAGGATCCAGGAGAGAACCATAGTATTACACTGATCCCAGTAGAAGTACTTGGGATCTGCTTTGCTTGGGATCGACATTGTGCCATCTACAAAGACCAATTTGTTTTTTGACCTCAGCGCCATCTCTACTGCTCGTGCCCATGTATGGTAATTTGTTCTTCCCTCCAATTGTGCAGTCACTAGCTGCAACGAAGGGCTCTCGTTTGGGCGAAGGTGAAGAGGATCGATTCGATCCTTAGGGTCATAGACAACAGGATTTGGGGTGGGAACATGATTTGGGTTTGCGAAGCTAGGGTTTGTGGCCATTGTAGATCGAATTGTGTTTAGTGAAGGTGACCTCTAAGCCATGAAGGCTCTGATACCGTGTTGAGTGATGAGCAGAAAAGAAACTTTGTATTGAAATCTATCAAAACTGTTCTCAGGCTATGAGTGCCTTACATATACTCTTACTGCACTAAGAGGAAAGGCATAACAGAAAAGCGGAGGGAACAAGAACAGTAAAACTACTTCTAACTAACTTAACAGAAATGAAGTAACAGTCTTGGCTTTTGCTTGCTGACTTAGTCTCACATGTGCTAACAAAATCTTAGGAGACTAAGGGGTCGTTTACTTCATCTCTCTGTTTTTCCATTTCCAGTTTTCCAATTTTCCATTTCTCCAGTTTTCCTTTTCCATTCTTCCAATTTTCCATTTCTCCATTCTTCTGTTTTATATTTCTCCATTCCTCCATTTTTTTTTTTTAAAGATAATAATAAAACCAACAACAACAACAACAACAATACTAATAATACTAAT